CGAGGCGGCCCGTGATAAGGAGCGTGAGGAGGATGTTCGCGCCCAGGGATATGGCGTAGTAGGCTGTGCCGTATGCCATAGGGAGCTTGCTATACATGGAGAGTGTCGGCTGGGAGGACTGCAGCGTCCAGAGGGTGCCCATCACTGGCACAGGGCATGTGAGCATGCGAGGAGAGTATTGGAGGCAGGCACGTACCGAAGGAGGCGAGCAGGACGATACTAGGGAAGGTGATGGCGGCCCAGGCGATGGTACGGCTGCCGGCGGCGCTCCAGATAACCCAACAGCGCCATAGCTGGGAATTCGTGTCAGCTCAAATTTAAGGCGCGCATTTGCGGTATATGCTCACCACGAGGAGGTCAGAGAGGAAGGTGAGAAGAAAGAGCGTGGCGTAGAAAATAACGTTGACGGCGGCCGACTGCGTGGCCAGGAAAAACGCCCACGGGCCGCCTACAACACACTTAGCCGGATACCAGGGATAGCGGGGGCAAGTGCGTACCGGGGTAGTTTCGGTTATCGATATAAATCATCTGGACCGTGCGCGCCTGCACGGCGACGAACAGGGACTCAATGAGCAGCATGCAGGTCATGTACGCGAGGAGGAACATGGGCTGCCGGCTATTCTTCCGCCGCTTCCAGAGGAAGAGCGCGCAGGTCGTGTAGAGCACCAGCTGCACCCCGTAGCCCGTGCCCACCACGACGTCGCCAGCCATCTGCAAATCATGGCGTTTTAGACTCTAAAAAAAAGAGGAAAAAAGCCGGTCAGGGGTCCGGGGACTAACGAAGTTGCGCTCGAGCTGGATGTCGCTCTCCGGCTCGTCGGGGCCATAGTACGGTGACATATTGTGTCGGGGGCGTCTGTCCGCGTCAGGGGAATTCCGGATGGTTGAAGCCAAATAACCGTCGAAGGGCGGGTTATATGCACATGTCAGGAACGAAGAACCTCGTTGACAGAATATTGTTGGAAATGTTGGCGTTTGAAAGCGACCGATCGCCGGCGACGCCACTCGCACGTTCACTCCCTGTCAGCAGCTGTCAGCGGACTGCTGCGGTTGACAATGACAGTAATCGTGGGCAGGAGAGTGGGTATAATTCACTCGGTCGGAGAACAAAATGAATTCGCAGTCGACGCGTCGCTTCCGTCGGGAGGGCAAAAGAAGGGTCCGAAGACACAAGAATAGAGAGAGGCAACGCAGCAGGCACCATCCATATTCCCAGCAGTCAGTTAGGACATATTGCGTCAATCGTCTTATCATGTTAAATGCTACACCGAGCGCTGGATGTATACCTATCACCGTGCCTTTTCTTTTTCCTTTTGTGCGGGGATTGAGCGCTGTGGTGAGACTTAGTCTTGTGTGGCGTTTCCTTGGCTTACGCTTAACTGTGCGCCTTTGGGATGGGCAACGCAATCAATGTTGCGATGGCTGAACCGCGCTTGGGACAAATTTGGCAGATTGATGGAGAGGAGTGGCTGTGCCGCAATTTTGTTTACCCCCATCTAGGTTCGCAGCCCTATCATTGTCACAACACTGTCCGCCCGAGTCGGACAGAAATTTTGCTTTGTGGATATTTTTGAATGAAGTCATGTTAGATGAAGCACCTTTGGGTAGAATAATATATCAACCAGATTGTGTTTCCTCCAGGTTCAACTTGGGTTCAACCACCTTCAAGGTACCTATAGAAGCAGCTGTTTATCTATGCGAAAGACAAACTCGGATGAACCATTTTTCCTGGCTAGAGATCCTTGGAAAAAGACACTCTTTATTTCTGCCAGCTTATTTGGTCAACCTTGATGGTCAGAAGAAAAGGTCCACCCACCAAATCCTGGCCTAGAAAATCCTATGGCAAACAAGGCTCTCTAATTTTTGCCTCAAAAATCCTATCTGCAGACAATCACACCAGGATTACAGGAATTTCAGGGCACCTGAAATTAGTTTTGATACAGCATGTGTTTGTTCCGGGTGCGCTGAAATGCTTCGACAAACTAGCTTGCTATAATAATATATGGGAAAGCCGATGCATTTCGGTGCGTCTGAAATGGTCACGTGCCATATCAAAACTAACTTCAGCTGCCCCGAAATTTCCGTAATCCCGGTGTGAATGAAATCCAAAAAAAATTGCGGGGGAAAATCCTATTTTCTGAAACAGGACTCACAAACCCAAGCTCAGTTTGACATCTGCCTGGCAGTATTTACACTGGATAATGTCCTATGAAATGAGTCGATTCCACATCTGTATATATAATTTTGAACTACCTTTGTTGTAAGCTAGCATGCTCCTCGATTGCTGCCACAATTTCCTCTGGGTCCTTTGGGAGCAGGAGCAGGTCATAGTGCACACAACAAAAGCTAGTTTCATTCAGAGAAGCAATTAATTAGACCTATCCCTAGATCATTGATCAATCAGGCTAATATACAAGGCACCTTCTCAAGCACAGTTCACCCAGGATGCCTCCACAGCAATTGGCAGATCTTGTGCGGATTAGGAGTTCAGGCTTCCAAATTGTCTATGACGGTACTGGGTTGGCCTGATCATGAGAGACAACAATCCTGGCTGGGGCTGAAAAACAGAACCTGAACTAGTAAGTCATGAATCCGCTCTGCACATAACCTATTTTCTCATTTCAGATTAACCCAGTGGTTAATCTGTGTAAACCCTTTGATGACTTTATGACTGACTGACATACTTACATGTGATGATTGTGACCATCATCACAATCCCTTATTGGACCTGACTTCCATCTTGCACGTGTATATTCTGCTTCTTGGAAACATAGCCTGGTTTTATTGTTTTCCTTGTCTGATTTCTTCTCTGAAGTGTTCTCACCTCTTGACCAACGAGGTGAGTTTCCACTTTTTGAACAATAAAACCGGGCTATGTTTCCCAGAAGCAGAGTATACACATACAAGATGGAAGTCGGGTCCAAGAAGGGATCATGATGATGGTCACGATCATCACATGTAAGTATGTCCGTCAGTTGTAAAGTCATCAAGGGGTTTACAATCTGCTCATAAACCTGACCTCTTTCTGTCGCACAGGTGCCTCGGTGATGCTCCACCTGTACTCCTCTTCTTTGATAGATGTCTTGGAGACATTACTCCTCTCTGTCAACAGGTTGTCTGACAGATACTCCACCTGTCAACTCCTTTCTGTTCTAGTTCTTCATTTCCCCTGATCATTGACATGTGTCTTATTATTCAGTGTACGGGACCCCTTTAATTACAGTATATAAACCCTAGTAGAATCTCCAGAATCTCCTGTACAACTGTACAGGAGATTCTACCTTGTCTATTCTCTGGCCTTACTTTGGCCTGTTCTGGACTTGTGTTGGCTTGAAATCTCTTCTGCTTTGACCATCTTGTTGACTTGGGTTTACTGCTCGGGCTTTGCTAAACCCTTGTCTCCTATTCTCAACTCCTATCCTGAGGCTTCTGTTTGGACTTCTCTCTTTGGTCTCTGTGCGCTGTGATGTGGACTGCAGTGCTTCAAACTGCCAGATGGTGGAGAGATCCGAGCTATGTTTAAATGCTCATCCTCTAGGGGGAATTTGTTCTGTTGCGGTAGACAAGTACGTAGGGAGGTTTAAATAATATTGGTGGGGATATCTGTACAAGGATTTGAATGATTCATTCAAGATCCTGCTAGCAAGGGTGAACCGAGCAAGCTCCAATGCCTAGTTAGCCTTCTCAGGTTAATGGAGGTTGAATCTGTTCTACACTTCCTTGGAGGAGGAACTCTGGAAGGCAATGTGGGGTCCAACTCATTAAGTCTGAGGTGAAATATGGGTTTTAAAGGGCTTCTTGGACCACGAACCACGGCCGTCTGAAGTATATTTGGGTCATAGATCATAAGACCAGGGGAATTATGCATCTGTGGTACTGCTCCCGCAAGTTCCTCCTCCTTCTACCCCTCTTTGTGCCTCTACGGAGTTTCCTCTCTCTATTTCCCAACCCATTCGCTTACTGAAGGCGACTTCTGCAGGCTCTGCACCGCCAACTTCCTTAGCTAGCAGCTACACACGAACTCCAAAGACCTGTTGTGTTGCTTGAGAGATTTCACTGCCCTACTAACATAGGGGAGGAATAGAAGGTTTGATAATTGATGCTGAACTTATGTCGAATGAAACTCCATTCACTGTCTGACAGCGGCGAGGGAGTGCTGGAGGTCGATTTACTGTATAACTCGACTCTGGGTGACCTCTTGGTGACGTTCAGATGGTTTAGCTACCCTTAAGCTGGCTAAGGCTTAGAAGCTGAGAATGTGGGCTGAAACTGAGATGATATTTTGGTAGACTAGCCATAGTATTTATACCCCCAGCCTAATGCTGTGTCAGAGTTGTTCCTTTGTGTCCCAAACCTGTTTGCTCACACGCTCCTCTGCCTGGAGTTCACCTGTGACTCATTTCGGACTCCGTGAACCTATATCCGCACTGTTTCTGACTAGGCACCAATTCCGTGGTCCGGAGTCATTTGCCCTAGTGCTGGACACACCATTTCCGATCATAGCTCTCCTCCGATCTGGCTTCCACCTGTAACGGCTCAATAGTGTAGTGGTAAATGCACTCTATCTCATTTCACCCCAGTGTTTGATTTATGGAGAGATCCAGAGTTCAATCCTCCGTTGAGCCCTTCTCTTGTGCTATCCACTTTTTGATTACCTGGAGTTCCTGTTCCATCCTTCCAGGCTGTATGCATTTGTGGCTCGATAGCATAATTGTAACACATCCTGTCTTGGTTCTTGCACAAGCGCCTCTGCAGGAAGTCTGGAGTTCGATCCTTCGTTGAGCCATTCCCTGTTCCACCCTTTTTCATGCAGATCCTTGAATAGGTCTGAGGTGGGCATGTCCGAGATCCGGTGGCATAGTGGTAACACACTCTGCTCGTGTAACTGGTGGGAAACTGAATAATGGAGGATCCAGAGTTTGAATCTCCGCCAGGCCTTGTGTTTTTATCCAGCTGGACGACGATGAGACAAAAGAAGTGTGAAGGGCAGCATGTTGAATGGCTCAGTGGTGTAATGGTAATGCACTCCATATTCCTATGTACACGGTATCATTCATGGAAGGTCTGGAGTTCAATTCTCCGCCAAGCCATTGCTTGGGTCTGGGTATGATTTTTAAAATCAGAGTTGCTGCTTTTCTCATTGGGGTTCTGTTGGTTGAGGCCATCTTCGGAGTTTGATTCTTGAATGGCTCAGTGGTGTAACGGCAACACACTCTGTGTTCCTATGTGCTTAAAATTGGATCTTTGAAGGTTCGGAGTTCAATTCTCCATCGAGCCATTGCTTGGGTCTGGGTATGATTTTTAAAATCTTGGAGTTGCTGCTTGGTTGTCCTTTTCAGAGTTCGATTCATGGCTCGGTGGCATAATGGCAATGCACTCCGTGCTCCTGAATGTGCTTTACATCATAGCTTGGAGGGTTTGGAGTTTGACTCTTTGTCGGGCCTTTTTGATTTTCTCACCGGTACGGAGTTGAATTACTATTGTCCCATATGTCGGAGTTTCACTTGTTGCTGTAATGGGGTTCATTCTTTTGTCACGGAGTTTCATCTATTTGAGGCTACGTCGGGAGCTATCACAATGTGATGGCTCACATCGTGATGGCAAGTTGCTGCTCCCATAATTGCCACCTCTCCCCCAGAACCTCACCTGCCACCTCCACCCCGAATGAGTGCCTTACACACACCCCAACACTGACTAGCTCATCCACAACCGGCGGCGAGAGCAGCATCAGGCAAGGCGAATGGTGGGTCCACACACACAAACACAGTGTCTACAGCAGCCTACCTTGCCCTTCTGGAAGAGATGTTTGGGACTGGGAGTGTGCTGAGGGGTGAGGGTCCCAAGCCAAAGAGGGGGAGGGACATGAGTCCCAGTGCAAGGGTGGGGACAAATGGAGGCATAGTACAGAGGGGAAAGGGACAGGGAGGGGTGGGCAAGAGGTTGAGCATGGGGACAGAAGGGAGTAGGAGCAGTCTGAGTGTGGAGAGGAGTGCTAGTGGGAGCAGTTCCAGGGTGCCTGAGGCTGAAGGTGAGTTTGGGATGGAGGTGGATGTGGACGTACTAGACATGGAGGACAAGGGTGCAAGCATGAGCATCAGTATCAATATTGATATCAACATGGATGCAGACGTGCATGCTGATATAGGAGGGGGTGGGGAGGGGTGCATCATGGCATGGATCACAGAGATGCAGGTGCTTATCAAGGGGAAGTGGCAGCTTGAGCACGGAGTATGCTCTTTTTCCTTTCTGAGAATTGGAAAATGGAAACTTGCATGTACTCACAGGATCTCAAGTCGCTTGCAGACACATTGCGGATGATCGTGAATCTGGACGCAGAAGAGGGGCAGGCACTCTGGGTGCGTATATTCATCTTCGCTTTCACTGGCATCTCTCTCGTGACATGTTGCTCACATCTTTTATGGGGTGCAGGATGAGCTGCCGCAGCTGCAGGAGAGCATCTGGCAGCTTGCGCAGCTGGAGGACATCCCGTTCGGCAACAAGCACTGGGTGCACACATAGGCAAGGTGGCTGATCACATACTGGCCCGAGCTGTAGACACTTGGGGCACAGGGGTTTATTGTAAGCATATACTAGCATAGGACATGTATTTCTTGAGAGTGCATTTGACATCCAGTAGTATTAATTATAAACGAGAGTGCATTTGGGACCGGACTGTGCGCGCAGCAAGCGTGCAGGTCCCAGGAGATCAGATGTGATGGTGAGTTGGCAAGTTGCCAGCTTGCCAGTGTTGTCCTTAAGGGTTAAGCCTTAAGTTAAGTTAAGACTTAATTGGCCCTTAATATTAACCCTTAACGGGAGTCTGGGGACCACTTAAGCCTTAATTAAGGCCTTAATGATGGGATTATATAATACATTCTGTTCAACCACGGTGCCGTTGACATAGGTGCAAACTCAGCCAGTCATGTGTCACTCACTACCTCTGTTTCATCTGATAAATTCCACAAATGAACCTGTAGAATTTCTTTTTTTCAGTGAGAACAGCTGGCCTGGACGAAATTTTGCGCTGTTAGGAGGCCCTGGAACAAGTTTATGAAGCGAGAGGGAAGGGGGTGAGGAGGAAACCTGGTGGAAAGGTCAACATCATGTCACGACTCTCATTCAACTGAGGAAAAAAAATACCACCATCCTTAACTTAAGGGCTTAATATCCCTTAATATTGTCCAAATTAAGGGTTAGTAAGGCCTTAACAAAAAAAATTGCCCTTATTAACCCCTTAAGGGACAACACTGCCTGAGCTTGCCTCCGGTACAGGGAGTGGGAGGGCTAAATGGCGGTGGGAATGAGATGGGTGCCAGGTTTGCCAAAGGAAGCGAGCGGCGGTTGACGAGATGGGGAGCAAGATTCACGCAAGCTAGTTGATGAAAGTAAACAATGATAAATAACGTGTCACCGCATTTGCTACGTAATCCCTCTCTCCCATTTTCTTTACCGCGTCTCTTCCAGAAGATGCCCAAAGTAAAGGCGCCGACCACGCAGTCTCCTACCCAGCCTCGGTTACGGGGTTGGGGAGTCTCAGTACGGGTTTTACCACCGGAATCTCAGTAGTCATAACAGATCACGGAGGGGTTGGGGCAGATAAGGTTTGAGTGATGGATGACATATATGTGATGACAGCTGATGACAATCTGTTATGACTACTGAGATTCCGGTGGTAAAACCCGTACTGAGACTCCCCAACCCCGTAACCGAGGCTGGGTAGGAGACTGCCGACCACGTCGAAATCGGCTCAGTCTTCCTTCTTCGTCTTCACCTATGAAAAGAAACGCGTTCTCATTCCGCGACCGAAGACTTATCAGGTACGCAAATCGAGACGCTGTGGACGCGACGTACCGACCATTGAGCATATTGACGCGTTTAGGCTGCAATGGGGGCTGCACGCCGCCATTTCCCCCAACTAAAAAATGGCTTTACTCTGCAAACAGACGATCTCGACGTTTGTGGCGGCGAGTTGACTGATATCTCGCCTGAAATCTGGGAGATGGCGATCGACATGCTCTCCTCGGTGGTTATTAAAGAGGAGCCTGTTCCTTTAAACACTGCTATCCTCAATCCAGGTATGTCTCACCGTGTGCTTCTACGCTTCTGCTTCACTCGTTAACTATTACAGTTCTGCCAGGTGTAGCATCTCTTTTAACCGTCCCCTCGAATACGGGAGGTGGGGCGGCAGACGGTATGTCATCATGCAAACATATCACGGCTTGGTGCGAACTGCTATTCTCCAGGCCATGCCGTTGTAGAAGTCAATTGTGAAGGGGTGACTCGGAACTATCGGGTTAAGCTCACGACACCGCTCAGCAGGGTTTTCTCTGCCGCGGTGTATTCGTTCGGCATTCATCATTCGATGACCTGTGAGGATGACTGGGCTTTCTACTACGACGGCGACCGCATATACAACAAAGATGATACGCCCGCTACGCTCAACTTCCATGACGGCGATACATTGGAGATTGAAATGATTAAAAGACTCCAGCTCAAGGGCGGAAAGCCTGTCATTTATCTCTTCTCCCCGAGTGCCATCGATGTCTCCGTGCGCTTGACCTTGACCCGCGAGTGGGACCTCTCGGTCATCTACCCCGTCGTGCCTGCGAAACGCGCACCGGCAGGGGGCGAATCCATCCAATGGGACGTGCGCACGCACCCAGACGGCAGCCTCACCGAGCATACCACCGGGCTCGGTGTCGCGTATCTCTTCTGGGAGGCGCTGTACGTCTCTCACACCCCCTTCTTTGGATCACGAGAACTGACGACGCGTTATCCACACAGGACCAATAATAACATCCCGCCCTCGCCCCCGAGCTCCCCCGTCCTCGGGCACTCGTCGCCTATGCAGGCGTTCTCGCCCACCACTTGCGACCTAACTCCTGCGGACTCGGTCCTGCTGCGTGTCGCCGACATCACGCCCTACCTCGACAGCGCGCTGCGCGCGCTTGGCCTCCACACGGAGGCGCGCACCTCGTTTATAACGTGCGTTCCCATTCCCCTTGGTCCTTTTACCTTGCCATTTTTTCTTTCGCGATTGGCGCGTCTCTGACAATAATACGCGGTTGCAGGTATTGGCTCCCAGCCTTCCTCAAGCACACGCACGTCGCGCTGCGGTTCGTACCCCAGGCGGCATACGAGCCGGCCGCGCGCCTGGATATCACGCCCGCGCCGGACGTCGTTACGCGTGTGTTCATGCTTTTCAAGGGCGTGCCGTCGGAGAAAGTGGACGCTTGGAGCGCAAGCAGCGAGGGCCCGGAGCGGTGGAGAGAGGTGGTGGGTGTCGACGTCGAGCGCGCGCTGGATGCCGATCTGTTCCGGGTGCTGGAGTGGGGTGGGATGGAAGTGTTGGGACGGTGATTGCTTGTTCTGCCGCGACAGGGCCTATTATATTTAGGGGAATGTGAATTTGACTCGAGGATTTATCGTAAAGACCAAGCTGTACAAATCCATGCTTCAAAGTTTCAACGGGGGAAAACCCAGCACTTTCGGTGACTACGACAAATGAGAGTAGTCAGGTCGGAATATGAAGCTCGAGATGCCGCAACACAGAATGATCAAGAGCTTGAATATGTTCAAAAGTATCAACAGATTCTCTTGGTTGATATGTAGAAACAATGGTGTCCCATCTTCAGCGTGGCGCAGAATCGTCCGTTCTTCAATTGGTACAGAACTGCTCAACACAAATCAATACAACCTCGACGAAATATTGAAGAGTATGGTGCGCACCCCATTCGCGTTGGATTTACCACTGCAGCAGGGCACAAGCGGGTCAGTGAACGACCCACTGATAAGACATCCTTTGCACAGCTTGATTCGCGACAGTCAGTCAGCTATCCCGGGTCCACCAGAGGGTATGGGTATGGTCTCACTCCATTGGATCCACAATAGAGCGGTCCGCCGTTCAGCCCACCGTTGGAACAGCATGGGACCTTGGGGTCACAGAATGAGCCGCTGGGGAGGCAAGACCTGCATACCTATTGGGTGAAAACGAATATCAATGCGTAGCTCAGCGTAGTGCACGACCGTCGCTTACATTGGTCGTTCCGCAATAGAGCGGTCCGTTATTCGTCCCGCCGGTTGAGCAGCA